CATATACATTTTACTAATTTCATCTCTGACACTTCTATTATAGAGAAAGGGCAAATAGCAATATTAAAATACTTCCTCTAATTAATCCCCTTTTAATGTGCACGAATTTCGAGCACCAGGCCACTGTAAATAAGTAAATGATAATACAAGAATAAACTGTTTCCTATACTCACAACTATAATCCTACTTTTGCCCACCCCTGTATATTCACACCCACACTCCCTGGAATGTAATAAGTGTTCAGTAAATGGCACCTGGTAGCATGTATTTCTGTCTACTGCATTCAATACTAACAAGATTCCTCAGAGTTGCCGAAACCGGTTTGGCTCAGTGGATAGAGCGTCGGCCTGCGGACTCAAGGGTCCCGGGTTCGATTCCGGTCAAGGGCATGTACCTTGGTTGCGGGAACATCCCCAGGAGGGGGTGTGCAGGAGGCAGCTGATCGATGTTTCTCTCTCATCGATGTTTCTAGCTCTCTATCCCTCTCCCTTCCTCTCTGTGAAAAATCAATAAAATATATATTTAAAAAAAAAAAAAAAAAGATTCCTCAGAGTCGCCCAGGTTCTCTGGGTCTCCAAGCCCTTGGAAAGCTGGGGCCACTGCTTAGCAAGAAATGTCAACCCAACCACGTCCCAAGGAGCTGGGGCTCTCAGGTTTCCCATGGGTTTCTGGAGCCCACTTGCATGTGCACAGTGACGCTGTGGGGGGCTTGGGGGACAGCAGGGACAGCGGGTGGAGGCCTCTCCCAGCTGATCCCACAGGCCCAGGGAATGTGTCCCTGAAGGGGCTGCCCATCTGTGATCTCTGGAGACGTGCACTGGAGGCTTCCAGCCCCTTCCCCACAAGCTGTAACCCAGAGTGGCCTGGGCACAAGCACACCAAAGCCCGCAGGCAGAACGAAAGCATCCGGTCCCCTGTCTGCAAACGTTCCTCTGCAGGATGCCCATGCGGGCAGCAAGGGCACTAGGCACCGGAAGCTGGGGTCGTATCACACTGGCATCTCTGGCTTCCCTCTCCCAAGTTCATGTCCCCCACTTTGCCTAAAATGCCACAAGGGCAATTATAAAGGGGTCAAAGAGTCACAAGGGCGTCTGAGGGGAGGGAAGGGCATGACTCTGGTCTGAGACGCCCACCCACCCAGAGCAGAGGGCAGAAGTGCCCTCCACCTGTCCTGCCCCCGAGAGGGACTGTGGTGCCGGCAGATGGGCTGCAAGCTCCGCTCCGTGGGCCTGCCCATGGCTCACAGGCCACGAGCTGCTCAGGGACCTGTGCGCGGGCACACACCTGCATGGTGCCCGTGTGCACGCCTGCGCATACACATCCGCGAGGCCCACTCCTACTGCGCCCCCCCACCACCACCCCACCCTGCTCACGGTGCCCGTGCACCCGGCCCCAAGCCCGCCCGGGCACGCCCTGCCACTCACTCTCCTTCCTCATGCCGCTCTCCAGGCACTTGCGCAGGCGGCAGGCCTGGCATTGCCGCCGGGTCTTCTGGGTGATCTCACAGGTGCCCTTCCGGAAGGGGCACCGCAGCCGGGCGTTGCGTTTCATGGCCCTCCTGTGCGAACAAGGAGCAATAGGTGGGGGGGCGGGGAACAGGACATTCCTCCCTTCTCCCTGCCCCTTCTGTCCCCAAGGGACACGAGCCACACCCTCTGGGGCCTGCTTTTGCCCTGAGAAAGGCAGGCTCCCAGGAAAG